GATACTGTGTATCCGTGCCATATAAAAAAAATCTTTTTGATATCTCCAAAATCTGACCATCGACAATAAAATTGCGATTAATACAAAATAATCATGGAATAATAGTACCATTTACAAATATCCATCAACCAGTCCTTCAGACTAATTGGAAAAGCGATCATACTTATTTCTTCCAATCTGTAGGATATCAGAACCTCACGTGAAAATTTAAAGGGTTATGTGGGTTTAACGCAATTTTATATACAAATGATGGGTCGGGATGACATACTTTTGTATTTTAGTATAAATGAAATGTTTGTATTTATAGAAATGGCATGAAACTCACTGCAGGATTCTGGACATCCTGTATATTGGATTCAATACATATATTCTGGATGATTTAATCAACAAAACAATAGACTTCATAGCAAGACTATTTGTGCAGTTTTTTTCATTGCAGTTATTATCGCATGAGTACACACGTTTGAATGGACTACCCATTATGTGCCATGAGAAAGCAATGATATATATGGGTTGGGCCTTTGTTACTTTTTACGTCTCTGAGTAGTATGTCTGTGGTACCATCTCACCACGCATACTTATTTATAGTGAAAATATAATGCAGATAAAAAAGGTTTAAATTAACTATTCGCATGCTTTCAAAAATGTATAATTTATAGAAAAAGTATGAACAGATAAAAACCTTTTACATCAAACATTTACAGTTTCCAAATTACCTCGAAAATTTGTTCCAAATGCGATCGGGATTTCTCGTACCGAAGGTCCCAGTATATATGGGCATTTAATCGAACTGATTGAAGCTGCAATAGAAAATATCCTACGAGCATCCTTCTGGAGGATACATGCTTTTAACTGCGTAACTTGGATAACTTCACACGAAACTCCATTTCGGTAATCCTTTAAAAGTATGTTCGAACTAAAGAAACGTCACACCACAAACGTTCAATGTCTTTTAACTCAAGCGGCCACATGCATCGCTATCGCTCTTTGAATATGCCCAAAGTTAACAACCTGTATGATTGGTGCTAGTCTGTCTGAACGTGTGTATGTTTGTACGTGGACAAGAATAATTCTATTTCAGGGTATCCCGACATATGAGCTCTAGATTTGTATTGACAGTGCGAATGACACACAATAATATCTTGTAGAAAAACCTACATAATGTCAAAAAAGCAGCATAATGTCAAGCAGAATCGGCATAATGTCACTTTTCAAGATACGTGATACCCGTGCCGGCCGTCGAGTTATATAGTCCGCATCGTAGGGACTCGTTGATTCGAGAACATTCCGGTGAGTCACATAGCGGCATTCCAAAATCTTCGCGGTCACTTCGCGTCGATCTCGAAGAAAAGTCTCTGGCATGGTCGCTAACAGCCCCGAAAGAGAGTCTCGCGGTCCCCAACATATGTCTCCACCGAATGAGAGTCTATCGCGGTCCTCAGCAGACGGCGCCAACAGTACTATTCATTCTTGCTACAATACAAAAGTGAACGTACATTTGTATTAACCGATAACTTCCCACAAGTCTCTACGTTGGGGCAACATGCACATCATCCTTTATGACTACCAAAAGTTTTGGAAGCACTGACTTACACATATGATGCATTAGATTTTCTCTCACACACACACACACACACACACAGCGGGCCTCGAATGCATCACTAATAGCAAGACCAGAGTGCAATCTTGTTCCTCATCAAATTCGTACTTTATATGCGGTTATACATGCTCGTCTATTACCTATTTATAATTACATTGAAGCAGTATAAATAGCATGTGAAAGACGCTACAGTTCCTCGAGTCTTTTAGTGAGGGCTCTACATATCGATATCTTCAAAGGAAACTTTTGCACTGAGTAAGCTAAAGTAGAGTTGGAAAAATACACAAACTCAAGAGCGAATGCAAAGAGGCAATCATTAGCGATCATAATCATGATCTTCTGGAAATAACAGTTATTTATGTATTTAGGGTGTGCGGGCTCTAAGCTCACTGATAATTGATCTTACTATTTATAAACCCTTCAGTGGATTTCTGATTCAATGGGAGTGACATAAAATAGTTGTTGCTCCCAAAATATTACCCCAGGTGGAGGGAGATCTCACCCTGAGTTGTGTTAAACAATAAGTAATAAAAGGTCGTTATAAAAGTACAAGTATTTTAGACAAAGAAGCTCAACAAAAAATACAAGTATGCAAGTTGGCAAACTTTATAGCCATTATCCTAATAGACTTCCCTTTGTCAACATCATTCAGCGCATTCCTTCATTTTTGTTTTTATTTATCATGTAATAACAAATCTTGACCATTATTGTTTAAATTTAAGTATCCTAACAAATATTTGAGTAAAATAACAGTAAAAGCTTTATATCATGCCTTGATTGGCGCACTTAATAACCAAATGAATAAATTAGAAATCGTCCAAAAACGGTTTTTAAAAATAATCTTTGACAAACTACTCCTGTACCCATTTGATCTGTTGGATTCTGAAGCAAAGCTGTTAGACCTGTGATCACTAACAGCATCAGCGCTTAGCGTACATGTATTATTTATTATCGTTTCATTTGATTTAAAGATTAGATCTAAAAGAGTTGCTGTATTTTGAGCGATCCTTGTTGGTTCAGTGACTACTTGAGAAAATCCATATGAGTTGAAACATCTAATAGGTTGTTTTCAGTGTGAGTCAATATATCAATATTAAAATCTCCTAATACTATTATATGATCAAAGTCAAGTTGCAACCGCGGCAAAGTTTGATCTAAATTTTGAATGCAGGCAGCCAGATCCTTGTTAGAAGGACGATAATAGACTCCAATAGCAAGTTTGAAACTGTTAATGGCAACCGAGTTAAACAGACTTTCATAACAATCAGATTGCCAATATCTATGTCAAAGAGTGTACATCTCAAATTATTTTTCAGGCAGAATGCAACCCCTCCCCCGCGAGACGGGCGATCACGCCTAAAAACTAAATAACCATCTATTGCTACTGATTCACACTAGATATCCAAGTTTCTGACACAGCAAGAATATCAGTACTGCTGTCAAACAACATCAATTTTAGATCATAGAAACCTGTTTATAGTGAGCGAACATTCATGTGCGCTAAAGTGACACTTTTCCCATTCATATAGAGTTTTTGATTTTATGTTATTGACAATCAGATTGTTTTTAGATTTGTTTGACGCTGTTCATTGTAACTCACATAGTTAATACACTTGTTCGGCGATGTTCGCGGGCAGTTCTTCAAATGCTGACCTGCGCAATCTGGACAGGTAAGTACGTTCTTACAGGCATCCTTGGTATGATGACAACAGTTTAAATAGCGAAGGACAGGAAAATAATCCGTGACAGCGCATTTTCTCCAACCAACATATAAAAATTCTCGACTCATGATGTATTTATGCACTTTTGGTGAAAGATCCACGGTTGTGTTTGTGCAAAAATTTCACGTCGCTAGACGTGCATCGCAAATCGTTTTGATCTATTAGTGCATCTACAATGTTACTAGTGGGATAATCATTCTCTACTGTGTAAATTTTTACTTGGATTTATTTTGCGTGGTTCTACAATACAAAATTCGTTTCCTGCGAGTTCCTTCAGGCTGTGTTTTACTATATCTAAATGATCTTCACTCTCGCAATTAATCGCAATCTCATTTTTTGTTAATTTTGTACTGCTGATGCATAAACTAGAATTTGCTGGATTTATTTTGGTTTTAAGGGACTCCATGATGTTGTAATTAGCAGGTTCATCCGATTTAGATTTCACAAATATCGTTTGTGATTGTTTGTGTGGAATGTTTACATTTTTTACGGCCGAGCTATAGGAAACTGTAGGAATGAGATACGAACCATTTTTAATCGAAACTTTTTCTTGCAGATCTGTAATGCGGTCTTTTTCAATATTTGAATTTCCCTTTGCATCTCAATTGCATCCATTGCCGGGGCTTTAGCAGTAGTAAGCATGCATGACTTACACGTCCAGTTCACTCGTTCTATTGCGAAAATACCGGAAACCAGCCCAAAACACTTCGTGTGCAGTGCATATAGAACACTGAACACCAGATGTTCTAATATTATCACCACATAATTCACATTTCTTTTTCTTATTTCCGGGATCGTCGTCATCAGGCGGCGCCATATTTGTATGTCCACTGTTCGTACAGCACCCACCAACCTGTTGAGTGATCGTGTCCAAGATCCCGCCACACCAACTCCGTTTACTCTGCTACGCTATACAGGGTGTCCGCAAAGTTGGTGTTTTCCTTTTCAGAAACAACTACCCTTGAAATAACAAAGGTAATGTGTAGTGAAACGAGGGCGACCAAGTAAAAAAGAAAATAAAGGAAAAAGTACTCACTCTCCAGTTGACGAGAAGGGCTAAGTACGTCTCTGCCCGAAACCATACCGCTCCAACAGAAAATGAAATCTGCTGATGCGCTACCGAGCAGACGCACCATGCCAGCCCAAACATTCACCGAAAATGTTTGTTGAAAATGTGCCCGACGGACAGCGTGCGGATTTTCTACTGACCAAACATGAGTGTTGTGAAAGTTATTCACCCCATTACGCGTGAATGTAGATTCGTCTGTCACCAATATGCACTTCAAAAAGTCCGGATTATTGTCATGTTGATGCAACAACCACTCACAAAACCGCACTATTGCTGGAAAATCGTCAGGTTGAAGGGCTTGTACACGTTGGACGTGAAACGGATACAGCCCCTCTGCACGCAGCGTTTGCCACACTTTAGTTTTTGATACTTGCACTTTTCTAGTGCTTGTTGAGGGATTCTCGTCTACGCGATTACCTCTACACGCGTGACCGTAACCGTCGGTTGAAGGTTGCATACTGACCTGAAACACTGACTCCGACCCAGTTCTGTCGTCGGGTTGAGCCAGTGACATTGTACCACTCCGTGATGTCGCGGCTACAGGACGGTATTCAGATATTTTTGATGTTGCAGAGCCCTTTATCTCGGTTCCCTTAAAACATTGGTGTATATGGTTCTAAGGAAAATTGCTTATGTTTTCAAGATCTACACGTCGTGTAAAGGAAAACCCCAACTTTACGGACACCCTGTATATTTTACAACTGCCTGAGAGCCTTCGTGTAAATATTGAATAAACGATTGGGCCAGTAACTCGATTCGAAAGAAGGACAGGTGCATTTTGCGAACTTTAAATTCCCATGCTTCATATTCACCGGGGGTATTATGGTAATGCCTCGCTCGGTTTGTTTCAAGCATGTCTATCTAAATGGGTTTGTGAACTGGGTCAAACTGATATGCAGGTGGAGCATGCAACGCACGGTTTCGAATACGTTTGTGAAAAACTGGTTAATCAGGAGATTTGTACTGGATATCCAAGTTGGGGTCACGCTATGCATATATCCAAAAGCGTTCAACCCAACGTTTGTCTAGGTTAAACTTGATCAATTTGACAAAGTGGCATTACATTCATAGATTGTTTAATTGATATAAACATATTTTTTGCCAGAAAAAATGAAAAACCAGTACTTTCAAGAGATTCGTTTCATCTGATACCCATTTCAGGCACGTTGTCTTACTTAGGGTTCTTACGTTCACCCCTATAACTTTTAAAGAGCTGAATCGATTTTCATCAACCGTAGCTAGAAACAAACCTCACAGAGAGTTCTTTGGTTTCAGAAAAAAACCGCAGACAAATCGGTTCATCCGTTGGGAAGACAGATACACAAACGTCTCGTTTTTGCGTCGGAGGTTGAAAATTGTCGTACATGGGCAATGAGTTTTGTCTTATAAATCAGAGAATTAAAGACAGGGACTTAGAAGAGATATAATGAACGACATAGAAAAAAGAATAATTAGTTATGATAAATGTATTACAAAGATCTTACAGGGATATATTTGTTTAGGTTAGGAAAGCTTTACAACCATATTGATAAAGAGCGATAGTCGTGTCTTGTAGCAAAAATTGGCATCTGCTCATCGTAAAATACGTTGTAAAGAGCTGCTTTAATCTGTGAGATTGAGAAGACAATACCATTTTCAGCAGCTTAGATAGTTTAATTAGGGGCAAATAGTGGGCTTGTGTGAGCCTTGTTGGTCCTTCAGAGTAATAGCAACCAGGGTTCACTGAGGTCTAAATTATGTTTGTGGTTTGTTGTTTTGGCTCTGCGGGACCGCTTTTTTTGTTCTGTTGTTGGCACGGGTCGGTGACCAACTGTCCAGATCCTTATTTTCAATATCATGCTCTAATAGAAAATAGAACTTCCATTACAAGGGATGTCTTTTAAGTTTAGCATATAGAAACATAGTCGGCCGCACGGATCGAGCGTCAGTACTGAATCTTAACCTCACTCTTTAGTAAACGTAAATTCAAAGTTTCACAACAATACGTGTTCTCACTACAGTGAATTTTTAAGTGTCACCAAGTCATTAGAGAAATGGAACTCAACCGAGAACATTTTTGCGCCATAATTTATTACAACTTTCAGAGATAATTATCGCAACAAGAATGCCTTGCTGAGTTACTGTCTGTTTTCGGCAACGAAGCGCCACATCAGTCGACAATTTCCCGTTGGTATGGAGAATTCAAACGTGGACGGGTCAGTCTTAGCGACCATCCCAGGGTGGGTGCACCAAAAACGGCAGTAACCCAGGAAAACGTCGATGCTGTGCGCAAACTCATCATTGAAGATAGACATGTGACATATCGCGAGATTGAGGCATCCTTGAGGATCTCAAAGACCTCAATTCAAAAAATTTTACATGAAGAATTAGGAGTAAGAAAATTAGTTTCTCGTTGGATACCCCACCTGTTGACTGAAGAGCAGAAAGCAGCCAGGGTTAATTGGTGTCAAAAATCGCTTGATCGTTTCAATTCCGGAAACTCAAAAAATATGTACAGCATTGTTAGTGGTGATGAATCGTGGATTCACTATTACGAACCAGAAAATAAACGACATTCGGCTGTTTGGGTGTTCCAAGGTGAACAAAAGCCAACAAAAGTCATTAGTTCCCGAAGTGTTTCAAAAAAGATGGTCGCGACATTTGTGTCAAAAGCGGTTCATATTGCAACAATTCCTCTTAATGAGCAAAGAACTGTTACTGCGGATTAGTATGCCACCATTTGTTTGCCAAAAGTCATGACCGAGCTTCGAAAAATCAACCCCGAAGGAAGAATCATCCTCCACCAAGACAATGCAAGCTCGCACACAGCCCAAAAGACAAGGCAGTATTTAATGGAAGAAAACGTGGAATTATTGGACCATCCTCCATATAGTCCCGATCTAAGTCCTAGCGATTTCTTTACTTTCCCGAAAATTAAAAAAAGACTGCGTGGTCAAAGGTTCCAGTCACCAGAAGAAGCAGTTGACGAATTCAAAAATGCCGTTTTGGATCTGCCAGCAAACGAGTGGAATAGGTGCTTCGAAAATTGGTTCGAGCGCATGCAGATGTGTATTAATCTTCGTGGAAAATACTTCGAAAAACAATAAAGTCATTTAAAACTACCTACCGTGTTGTTTTATTTCCATATGCAAAACTTAAAAGACATACCTCGTACTTAATGTCGCCACTATGCTATTTCTATTACAGTTACATAGAGTATGCAAACACAATTATAATGTTGTTTTTACCTTTTTTTTTCATTTTGTTTTCAGGATTGCTTTTTAGCTTTGCTTGTTTTTTTTATATATATATTTTTTAATTTTCATATATTTTCACTTTATACTGATCTATTTCTTTGAATATTTTCTTGTTTTTATTCATCGAAAAACGAAGGTTGGGCGTTTGTTACTTTTTTCGTTTCAGACCTTTCTCTCTGCGGCCACGGGACCTTCAAAAACTACAAAGATTTTGCGTCCTTGGCGTAGTAGCAACATCGTATAAAAATGTTATCGAAATCAAGCTATAGGCGGTTATAGACCGGACAGACCGATAGACCTACCATACAGACAGACTGGCGAAAATCAGTGACACGATTTTTCGTGATGTACATGTCATGTAACATCAAAAAACATAATATCTCATTTTCGAAAATGTTCGCGATTACAATACTTCGCCAGTTATCCGGAAAGTAAAAGGAACGGTCCCGTTGAAAACCGTTCTCTCTCTCCCTTTTTGTGATAGCGAAAATGTCGATTAACATATTATAAGTATCATCTCCCAGTTCTGCTAAACTTGGGCATTCCAAAAAAATCGGATCTCCACCTACTTTATAGCAGTCGCAGGTCAGAGTATGTGTACCTACGTGTCGCGCTGTTGTGAATTAGTAATTCTTGTAGTACCGTGATGCTGCACGATAGATGTCATATTAGAAGTATCACCTGTCAAACGTCAATAGGTTAGTTTTTCTGGAATGTAAATAATTGGCTATATTTCTAGAATCTTGTTCAGATATATGAAATTGCGAAGAAGATGACTTGTGAAGGTTTTGTTCTCATGTTCCCGTAGTAGAAGATCGAGGATAGACTAAACCATGTGTCCGAGGAGCAGAGGTTTGTTGAGACCAATCGATCAACAATTCCAGTATAAAAGAATAATCCTGGATACAGCATAGGATCTATCTCATATATACTAAGTGACATATAAATCCGAACACCCAGTTTAAATGGTTTTATTTTAATAAAATTTTGTATAAGTACTTAATGAAGCATAATAAGTAAATGATAAAAATTTCAAAATGATTGCACTGCTTTATAGCCCTTTGACCTTTAATAATGTGTGGATGCACCCTGATGTGCTACGCATTCTCCAACGCGCCTAGGCATGCTTCTGATCAGGTGGTCAATGTCCTCCTGTGGTATCTCATTCCAGGCAACCACCAACTCCTCTCGAAGTGCTTCTAGAGTCTGAGGAGGACGTTGCAAATTGAGCAATCTCCTACCCATCATATCCCACACGTGCTCAATTGGGGATAAGTCGGGAGATCTTGGTGGCCATGCTAACAATGTGACATCATTATGTTGAAAGAAGTCTATTGTGACTCTTGCAACATGTGGTCGGGCATTATCTTGTTGGAAAGTTGGATCTGCCAGGGTGTCAAGATAGGGTAAAAGATGGGGTTCTAGAACTTCGTGGATATAACGCTGCGCGTTCATGTTACCTCTGATGAAGATTAAAGGTGACCTGGAACCATAAGCTATAGCACCCCAAACCATAACTCCAACAGTGTGATGAACATGTCTTTCAACAAAAAACTGTGGATTCCTCCTTTCACCACGTCGCCTTCTAACCCTGGCACGACCATCGTGCATGCCTAAACAAAATCGAGACTCGTCACTAAAGACAATACTGTTCCATTCCTGATCCCAGAGTGACCGTTGTCTGCACCACTCAAGGCGATTACGTCGGTGTTCTCGAGTTAAAGGGAGGACCCAGTGTGGCCGGTATGAAAACAAGCCAAAACTTCTCATTCGTCGGTAAACACTTCGCATGCCAATAGGTCTTCCGTGTTCTGCAAACCATTCATTTGCAATGGACCTGGTAGTGGAGAAACGGTCCCTTAAGGCCAATAATCTTAGACGGCGATCTTCACGGTCTGTTGTTCTACGGCGGCGTCCAGTGCCCCTTGCTCTTTGCGTACGGCCTTCTCGAAGCCATGCCTGACAACACCTAACCACAGTGTCTACACTTCTTTGCACTCTAACTGCAATTGCCCGAAAAGGACGTCCAGCTTCTAGAAGTCCCACTATACGGCCCCTATCAAACTCACTAAGTTGACGAAATCGTACAGGTCTCCGTACTGTAGGCATCGTAACCGATCGTAAAGGATGTCAAGAACCAAAATCCGCCAACGTTGATTCTTAACTGCGGCTGAAATATTCATTTTTAGAGCGTTTGTGAATTAAAAAAAACAGTATAAAAACCGGAATGTCCAACTGATAAGGCTGAAAATTTTTTCACTTGTTATTTACAGTAAGATAAATACATTCACCAACTTCTATTAAAATAAAACCATTTAAACTGGCTGTTCGGATTTATATGTCACTTAGTATGCGTTAATATTTGCGATGACAAAACTAAGGAAGTAGAGAATGGTAACTCCCACGATGGCAACATTGCACAGAGCCACAGAGAGCCCGAGAGGAGAAGAAACGAGGAGGCGAGCCTACCGCTTGGCGTCGTGCCGCTAGCGACGGAAATCGAAGGTCTCGGCAAGGGGGAACGCAACCCAACGCAACGCTGTAACGCAGAGCCGGCGTCGTAGTCCAATCCTCAAAGGTTCTGAGCTCAGAAGAATTAATAACAGTTTCTTTGATTGGTGCCTGCCAAGTTGGCAGCGTTGTACCAGCACAAAAATAATACATCTACTTTCATTAGGCTTGTGCTGCTCTTTGAAAATATGTAAGAAGTACCATGTCTTGAAATCGTCTAACACAATTAGCTCAAAACACTCACACTTTTAAGAAATAGCACCAAAATACAGACAGATTGACAGAACTGACAGAAAATGGACTTGTGTCAAGAATACTTGTAGAATCTACTTTGAACCTCACTACAGACTATGAGCATTATAGTCTGATCATATTAGTAAATTTCGCCGAAATAATTATAAAGTCTGGTTTTATTGGTACAGGTTGTTCAAGGGGGTATTTCAAACATGGACGCATAAAATGCGTACACCAATTTTTGTGGGAAAATGTTTTATTGGACAACAAATAAACAAAACTCTTTATATAAGATTTTTAGGAATACATGAGACTTACAAAATGAGAACACATTTAAAAAGATCCGACTAATAGTAAAAATATTATGGCCGAAAAACCAGGCAAAATGCAGGTTTTGGTACTTTTAATGCGACGATAATTTCGCACAACTACTTGAAATTCTTCAAATCCGTAGGATTCATACTTCTAAACAACAACAACAGAAATGCATTATGTATTCTTGAGAATTTCTAATTGTTTATTCCTAAACACCTGTTTTCCGGCCATCAATACTAGTAGTAAATTCAAAAATTTCGTATTTGTGAGTAATTGAACAAATGCGCAATGATATTCGAAAAACACATGTTACTATACACATTTTAAAACAAACCGAATGTGTCTGTCATCTTTTGTTCCGAATTACCCACAAATACGAAATGTTTGAATTTGTTTAGAAGAAAAAACGTAACCCATCCTTTTTTGCTTAAAAATTACTGGGCCTCCAATTCGCGGACTGAGATCTATAGAATACCAACCGGTAGCTGCTATTCACTGTTCGCATAGTCGATTCTGACGCTTAGACTTTGAAGGTGTAAGTTCTAAGAAGGAATGTACAGATCTTGCATGGTAGCCATTCCCCTAAGTGGGGATCTGATTGTAGCTTCTGGAAATTCGCATACTTTTCAAAATATACGGAAAAAGTATATTCTTACATTTCAGTTGTTTTAGGCGGGATGAGGACTCATGTTTGCGTAACTCTTTACCTTAACGCATAAAGGCTGAGATTTCGTTCATAATTTCAGCCTGTCATTCATTTTTCTAAGATCTTTATAAAATACTAGACTGAACCCGCGGCTTCGATCGCGTGGAGGAGTGCATTTGTCATTCGTTAGTGTAAAGCAGATTGGTTTCGGAGAAAGGAATGCAATATTTAAAGAAATGCAATAATTACTTTGTTTATCTAACATTTTAATGCAACAAAAAATTAATTTCATTGTTTCGCTTGTTCATATCCTCGGCAAAAAGTAAATAGCTTACTTGAAGATTTATCTGATATTGAACTGATGTCGAAGGTCATGGTCAGGTTCATTGGCAAGGGTATACTTCAACTTGAAATCGTCTGCAATTTGCATTCCAGAAATTCAAAAATAGATGTTTCCCGTTAAAAATATATTTGATCTTGATCATACTCATAAAGTTTCTTGCTTTTTTTGTTTCCGGTGTCAAAAATAGGGGTTCCATCTGGGAAAACTGTCATAGTCAAGGTCACCATTAGATTTTCTCAAACTTTACAACTTTCTTATTCAACATTTTTCTTTATGAAAGTATTTTACAACATACTTTATCCTTTCCCTATTTTCTGGACGCCCTCAAATATTACTCCAAGTTATAATTACCTTAATTCGACCACAAAATAGATTGAAAAGATTACATGACCAATTTAAAAAAGTTTTATTTACTTACTAGCGCTTGTCTTTTTCCTCAAATTGGGAAATAAAACCAAAGTAATTTAAAAGTCAATATAAGGTCGATGAGGCATCTTTTGCTAATAGTTCGAAGGACTTAGGTCATTTTGTGTTACAATCATAGTAATTTTGTCCTATAAAATAACGAGTCTATCCTAAATTTAACAATAAAGGAAACATACTATGTCGCTCTCTCTTGCTGAGTATACGGTAACCTATTGGTTAAAAATAAGTTAAGCTGTCTATAGCCAACTGGGTTAAACAAATGGCTTATTTTATTCTTAGGGATTTGTTTCGTCAAATGAGGCTACAATAGTTACCCAAAATTCAGGTGCCTTAGTAATAGGCTAAACTAACGAACTTTGCTAACAATTTTAATGA